TTCATAATTATTTAAGTTTTATTATACTGCATACAAAGTCGATGCATATCTTTCTCACTCATGAGTAAATGGGGAAAAGGAAGGAGGCATTAATAATAAAAACAACTATGAATACTTTCTCGTGGTCGGTGAAAAGATGCGCACAAGAAAGCAAACAAAATGAAACGATCCACGCGCTCGATAAAAAATACCAAGCTAAAAAAGAAGTAACAGCAGGAAAGAAACTGGAAGAGATTAAACGCCAAGAGAAAAGAGAGGAGTCGCAGAGCCTGCGAGGTTTAAAACAGAAAGAGGTAGAAAGAAAGGGAGAATGAAAAGAGAAAAGAAAAAGGGCTAAGGGGAAAATCACGTGAACGCGGAAGCTAGCTCCGATGCCAGTTCCTTTGAGGCTGTGCGCAGATGTCTGTCAGTCTCTATATCTCTCAACTATTTTCATTCCAACACACTGTGTTTCGCTACCACCACGCACACACACACGAGCGTGCATCTTCAAGCTTACTACAGTCAGTACAGCTGAATTGTATTTTATTTAATAAATCTTCTCCAGTTGAGAGGCCACCATCTAGCTCTGCTTTTTCTTCCATATAAAGTAGCATAAAGGGATGGTGTATTCTTTCGTTGGTCCGGAGAGTATACGCCTGCAAGAGAGCAATTTAGTAGGCAAATTTCTCTTGATTGATCTGATTTGATAATGTCGAAGAACCAACGATCGCATTTGAATGAAGAATTTTAGAAATGTCTCACTGTCTACACTATGTTTAAGTAAAACATCGGCTTTCCGAAGAAGACTATTTTGACGCGTGCTGCAACAACCATATACATTTTGCTTTTTCATTATAGCGATGCTTTCTCGCTCTTGGTGCGGATCGTTGCGCGTCGCAGCAGCAGCAATAGCAACATCAGCCACGTTTTTCCAAAAAAAAAGAGACACGTATACACCCTATGATGCTTTTTATTACAGTCGCAATGATTTTCTTTTTCTTTTGCTTTGTTTTGCTCTATTGCTGTGCTCATCCATGATTTTGATGAGTCGTTCCGTTTTTGTAACAGTGGCAGCAGCTGCAGTTATTTTTCGCCTTGCCTCTCGCGTTATTATGCATCTATTTCTACCGCGCGGCTACGGATTAAAATTTACAGGTAGTGAAATATTTCAATTTTCAGCGAGGAAAAGTAAAGCGAAGCTTCGCATATAGCTTCTTTTGACGGATTTGGTCTGTGTGAGATCGATGATATCTTCTCTTCTCGGTTTAGCCTTTTTTCATTTTCAACAGCAATCTAAAGTCCGAACATAAATTCATATAGCTTTGAGTTTGTAAATGAAAACGTTTGTTTTTTCATTTTATTTCAGTCTATGCAGCGAAATTGACCTACAATGTTTTCGAAAAATCTTCAAAAAGGATTTGCAGCCTTCCTGCAAAAATATTTTATATTACCCCTACACAGAGATCAATATTGAATTCATGTCCCGAATCAATAAATATTCACTCAATGAATAAGCTCAATTAAAATCTAAGTACTTGAAAATGTATTAAAAGCTCTGCGCATACGTCCAGCTTTGAAAATAATAGTAATGAAGTGCCTGAGATTTTTACCAGTGGTTCTTCTGCTAATTAATCTACAAAAAAGTACCCAAACTCTCTTCCCCCCCCCCCCCNTCTCTCTCTCTCTCTCTCTCTCTCTCTCTCGCTCTCTCTCTCTTTCTCTTGCTCTCTTTTTTACACAAACTCTACTCGTTGAAAAGTATATACGCATTAAAATTGCAGAGCCTTGAGAAGGGGAAGTAGAAATTTCAAGCGACCAGGCATGAAAAAAGATGCAAAAAATGAAAGCTATGTATGGGCAACCAGGCAAAACAATGCAACGGATCCTCATTGGTACACAGCAGAAAGAGAAAGAGAAAGAGAGAGAGAGAGAGAGAGAGAGAGAGAGAGAGAGAGAGAGAGAGAGAGAGAGAAAGAGCGAAAATTAGCAAACGACTAAATGATCCCTCTACTACTCCGGCTACAGCTTTTACGGCTGCTGCGACGTCAGGGTAGTAATACGTCGTCGTATCCTTTCTTTACCCGATCGTCCAAAAGTTTTGTGTATATGTGTGTGCAGGTGTGTCCGTTATTAGGAAAAGTTGAGAACAGACAATAGCTGATGTGTATGGTCTCCCGCGTTGAGGCTAACATTACGCTGCTGCTGCATGCTTGGCAAAAGTTCGAAAGTTCGACTTTTTCAGTCATCATGCTACGCAGACACGTGAGAATCGTGGCAAGAGTATCGGCTTAACTCGCAAATATGGATCTCTATTTGCTTTCGTTACGACGATAAATATACGTGCACTTGATCTAGGAGTTTACCTGACGTACTAATCCCAGTCATGGATATACATGTTTGTGCAGCTGAATGTTGTTCACAAGCAAAGTTTTTTTCCTTATTTGAGATAAAAACGTTTTTTCCACATGTGCCATGTTAGAAAATATAATAACGAAATAACTGCAGATTTTAATTTGGTCGATGGTCTGCGTCACGGTTTTAAAAAAATTTTTCAACAAGATATTCGTTCACCTATAACATCGTTATCTCGTGTATATTTTTTGTATATTGTCATATCCCGTGGTCGGAATTAGGCATATTAAAATTATTTATTTTTACCCTTGCTGTTGAGGTGGAGTGATAATAAAAAAGGAATCTCATGGCTTGTAATTTATATTATAATTGGTATAGTCATGGTTTATCATAATAATTATTTATAATTAACAATTGTGCTAGTCGCTACAGATCACGCACACATACTCTTTCTCATACTGTTTGTGTTCAAACGGCTTGAAGTTATTGACTGTCTGCGATGTCGTTTGGCTCGAAGTCTCCACGAAGTACTGGAGTACGCAGATGCATGTACTTGTGAAATTACAATAAATTATTCGCACATCAAGCCTGTTGAATTGCGCAATATTTTAAGTTCCATTGCTGACTATTTGCCTGAGCGGAAGTGTAGCGGTGGACAACAACTTTTGTTGAAAGACTGTGAACGTTTAATCATATTTTCGAAAGAGTCAAATCTAAGCGTATACAAAACGTCTTCAGTGACGAATAGCAAACGATTGTACGCAATAAGAAATCATAAATAACAGAGCGAACGATCTCCTTTTACGGGAATTTTTATAAATCTAAACTTCACCCGCGTCTATGCGGTTTGTGCGTACATTGCAAAGCTGATATTGGTCAATGATCGGCACATGTTTTGCTCGCGCGCATAACTTACTGGCCACATGTTGTTCTTTTCGGTGAAGTCGCGGTCACCATAGTTTTATGATGGCTTTTCTCGCATGTTCATCCATACTCGACACAGCACATGATCATTTCTCCGCCGTGCGAATCACCTTTTCGCAAGAATTTTATTAGCAGAGGCATAAGAAGTAAGCTACGGATCTAGGCCGATCACTGCTGGCGCGTAACAGAAATAATGTTATACTTTCCATTTGTCGTGTGTGTCATCAAAATTATGCATAGAAGAGGCACGCGCCGCATTAAGTCGTAATACATCCGTAGCCGCTTACTAGCTGCTTTACGCAGTTTCATTAGTATTTTTTATAATTGATTTTTATAGTGAAAGGTTATATCATAGAATGTAACAATATGGTGGTGCAATTCAAGGGCAAATGCGAGATAGTACCGAGAGAAAAAAGAATATTACTATTTGAACTTTTCATTTGATTTCTCTTTCTTGGGGAACGGTAAAGCTTCAGATCTAGCGAGGTACTAGATATAAGAATATTAGAAGCTGGTATAGGGGCCGTGCGTTATAAGGCGTACATAGACGAGACGAGCTCCTAGCGCAAGTGTCCAGAATAAAGTACGCTATCTTAGTCCATTTTCACGTGTCTTGAGCTCTTCATTTCTTTTTCGAGGTAAGCTTGCAAGAGGAAAAAAGAGTAAGAGAGAGAGAGAGAGAGAGAGAGAGAGAGACGTAGCTATAACAGCTCGAAGAGCTCTGCGCCATCATCAAACGTTTGGAGCTGTGCAGATAAGGCTTGCATACCTTTTTGTCATGCGAGCGATGTTACGAGCCTCTATCTTGGTTTTGCCATATTTCTACTCTGTATATATATCTGTGTGTATTCTCGGTGCGTTTCCTCTAGTGCTTGCTGTAGCTCAATTTTAGTGAACACGTGATATTGGCCTCAAAGTTAATACCAATATTTTTCTCACTACATGATGTTATTGTTACCTTTTTCACTCTTGCTATTTTTTGTATTTTAATACCTAGTGAACCTATTTATTTACAGGTTTACAGGTTTTATTATGACTCGAATAGAAAAAATTGAAAAAAGATGCAAAGGAAGCTAATTTGAGTTCATAAAATAAGTTCGTTGAAAAAAAAACAAAAACTAAATTAGGTTTTTCAAGAGTTGCAGATGAAATGAAAGCCCAAAACGAAGTAATGCTTTGAATGTTGTCGTTATTTTTACGAAAAAATTTTTTTAAAAAAAAATTCTTATAAAAAAAAACCGTAACCATATTAGATAAACTTAGCAAACTCCAGCAGACATTTATCAACAGATGAATAGTAAATTCAAATACTTTTCGTACAGTTAGACTTTATCGTTCGTTTTACTTAATTTCATTTATTGTGTAAGTACCGCAATAAAACGTCATTTTTTTATTACTTCGTTGTAGAGGTTTATTTGTATTTTAATACGATGAATTTATTACAGCTTGCATCACGATCACGCGTTTCTGAACTTTTTTATCTTAAACTTACTCGATGCCTTGTAGTACGAGCCAAAGAGAAAAAACAATTTGTAGTTTAGTTCTCAGAATACGTTGAATTCGTGCATTTAGAATTAGTTTTTTGCTTGCCAACCAAAATGATCCAAAAATTAACGATTATTAATTCACTAATTTAACGTTGTTTGCATGAGAAAAATTTAAACAGATACCATTTGGCAACAGGCGTTTTTGTTGACCCAAGGACTCCATGTGCAACAGCAATATAATATATAATGGAAACTTCTTTTTATCTGGGGCTTAAGTGATTCCAACATTTTTTCAATGGTGTCAGTTCGTGTATTGAATTTTTAATAAAGTTATTAAAGTCAAAAATGATGTGGTGCATAAAGTTTATAATTTTAGTAGGAATTTCGTTCTTAAACAGTGCAGAAAGTCAAGAGGTAATTAAAAATTGATACAATTTTTTCAAAAGAATACGATATTTCATTTTCTCTTATTCAGTTTCTCCACGAAAGCATGAAGCCCCACGAAATTGAAATACTTTTCGGCTCTAGTCGCAGTAAGTATCAATAAATATTAATTTAGTAGAAAAATATTGAAATAATTTTTTTAGTACCCTCCTATAAAATTGTTCCTGTCAGTCATACTCTTTACTCGAATAATATAAAACGTCGAGTGGTTGAAATATTTTTTGAACAACCTATGCGATTGTATTTGGAACCGAGCGATGGTTTACTTGCTGGGGTCAAAACACATGTATACAAAGCAAAATCTCTAAGTGGTATGAAAAATAAATTGAAATTTCAACGACTTAGAAAGGTGAGTTTAGGAAATTATCCTCATTTTAAATATTACTCATCATAATATACATTTAGGTTATAAAAAATCAAGGTAAATTTTATCAAGATACTGTGAATAAAGCTGCTTTATATGTTACTCATGATCGTGAAAATAAACCTTTATTCGTGAGTATTTTTGTTGTATTAACAGAAAAAGGAAAAATATTAAAAGAAATTCCTATTGAAGTGGGTGGTTGATATTTCTGCTTGCATAGAATGGAGTAATTGACCAAGTTGCCGTCCGACCGTTGCCGGAACGATTTCGTAGTCAATTTAAAAGAGATAAACGCTCTGCAAATGATGAGTTTTCGCAATCCAATCGAAAAGTTTACCATTCCAATCTCGAGGATACACATCATCACATTGTATTCAAAATACATAATGAAAAATCTATAGGAAATTGTGAGTTTTCTCTTTCGATTTGTCATATAGCCGCACATATAGATATATAATCTCCCTCCTAAATACTTAAAAATACAATTATTTATGTATTAATTTCTTGAATACAGCATTGAATCTTAAAGCTAATAGAAAATATCCGAAGAAAAAGCATCACGGCAAGGAAACAACACCGAAAACAATTTATCCGCAGATTTTGGTTTTTATGGATTCAACGCTTTTCACGTAAAGTTTTTAGAACGAATAATCATCATTTACATTCTTCGTAACGAATACCATATGGCGCATGTTTTTCCACAGACTTTTTGATAAAAGTGCCAGTGGTGCTGTCGACTACTTGTTGTCATTCTGGAATGCGGTAGATTTAAGATATCGAATTTTTCAGCAACCAAATATCCGCTTGAACATAGCTGGTTTCATATTAGCCGAGGTAAGTAATTGAATAAATCTCAAGTTTTTAATGCAATGGTTCTAATTGCTTCTCAATTTTTATTTCAGGATGCTGGTGTCACTGAATATTTGAGCAAAAATATTAAAATAATTCCTGGCCATTTTGATCAAATGATACAAGTGGATGATTCATTACACAGCAAGGCTGAGATGTTTTACTATGAGACACACTACCATAAGACAAATAATTCTATGATTTATAAACCATTGGGACTAGAATTTGATGTTGTGATAACTATGACGGCGTAAGACCAAAATTAAATATAAAAATATAATAAAAAAGCATGACTTTAATTGATTACTTTTGTATCATATTTATTAGGCTAAGGCTATGCTCTTTTAATTCAAAGAAATGTTTTGATTCACGAGGAGAGTATCAATGTAGTGCTGAACATTACTACATCTCATCGGCATGTAGTGCTTTGGGTATGACAAAATCTTTCAATTAAATATTATTTTTTTACCATTAAATAATGAAAAAATATTTAGGTTACGCTTACAATGAAGGTGTGTGTTCGTATAACATTAAAACTCGGCTGATGGAGTCAGTGGGAATTACTCATGATAGGGGTGGTTTCAATGGTATCATTCCTACTGCTCACGAGCTAGGGCATCTGTGAGTTCTTATTCGAATTGTTTACTAAAAATACGTACAGATAATTAAAAAGAAATTTACTATAGATTTGGGGCATCACATTCTGAAGACAATAGATACCAATGCCCTGTTCAAGATGGATATTTGATGTCTAGCATAATGGATATTACCAGAGACAGTTTTGTATTCAGCAACTGTAGTCTTAATAGTATTAAAGACTTCTTACAAAGGTAATATAAGTTTATAACATAAACATTTTGCTACCGATTACAATTATTAATCGATTTTTTCTTCATCAGTCCATCAGCTGCATGCCTTTCAAATCAGCCGGTTGTTGGCGAACGAGTGAAAAGAGTCTTACCAGGAAAAATTTTATCGCGTGATGAACAGTGTCAACGACTTGTCAAATCGAGCTCTTGCAAAGTATAAAATTGAGCAACATATTCATTTAAAAAAAAAGGATCAAGATTGTTAATCATGTTTTATGAATTCATTTAGGATGATGTAATGGACAAAATGTGTGACCAATTGTATTGTAAAATTGGAGATCGTTGTCGTATTGTCAAAAATGCACCTGTGCCCGAAGGAAGCTCTTGTGGCGATGGATTCGTGAGTTTTTTTCTCGCAAAAATTCCATTGACAATGGTATAATTAATCGGCTCTTTTTTCAGCATTGCATCAATGCTAGATGCACCAACAGGGATGAAAAAAAAGTATTAATTTGGCAAGAACCTGATGAATACGACTATGATGAAGATCCTTTTGAATCATTCTACTGAAACACTTTTTGGTTAAATTGTTAAAAATGTGTATATATATAGGGTTCGCCGATTTTAGACAAAATAATTAAGGGCTAACAGGGGGCTTAATGATTTTTCACTTTTCAAATACAGTACTAGGCTGTAAAAGAGAAAAACAATTTTTTTTCAAGAAGATCACACATGATAACCCTTTTGAATACCCTATTTGAAAGTATTTTGTCCAGTTAGATACTTGGAAACAGTTAAGTACAGTCATAATGAGTGTGTTGACCCCTCTACATAAGCTTTAAACACATCCAAGCTACCTGTCGTAGAAATCCAAGAGCGAGCACCAATCTATCGTGGCCTATTGTAGTTTCATTTTGTTCGATAGCCAATTGGCCATGGTCGCAACCAAAATTTAGACATAAGATGAACTTTAGCTACTCGTGTGTACAATTTTTTTAGAATTTAGTATTCATTTTTCATCATTTTCCATAAATTAATTTCACTTTGCTATATGTACAAGTAGTTACCGTTCATCTTATGTCTAGTTTTTGGTTGCGACCATGGCCAATTGGCTATCGAACAAAATGAAACTACATAGGCCACAATAGATTGATGCTCTCTCTTGGATTTCTACGACAGGTAGCTTGGATGTGTCTAAAGCTTATGTAGAGGGTCAACACACTCATTATGACTGTACTTAACTGTTTCCAAGTATCTAACTGGACAAAATACTTTCAAATAGGGTATTCAAAAGGGTTATCATGTGAGCCTAGTACTGTAATTGAAAAATGAAAAATAATTAAGCCCCCTGTTAGCCCTTAATGTGACACCGTCCAATTTCTACATCTCAGAACTGCCCTCGTCTAAACATAAACTTGAAGCAAGCAACAATGTGTGTATGGGCTTGAGCAGTTCTGAGGTATAGAGTTTTGACGGTATCTCATAAACAAATGCAGCAACTGTATATTTATGTTAAAACCAGAAGTTATTATGATCTACATATTTATAAATCATTAAGTTATGAAAATGTTCTATAATTGTATATAAATTATTATACGTCATAGTAACTATTATAATAAATGTCGTAAAAACCTTAATTTTTATAAATTATTTAAAATTTAAAATATCTTTACTTGAGTAAATTTTCATCAATTTATACAAGTGCCGCTAAAAATTAAGAATTTTTTTTTATTAATATTTAACTAGCTTAAGCTTTGTATCTCTATTGGCACGCAATGTTTCAAAAACGTTTAATTAAATTTTTTTCTCAACGTTTGTTACAATGTTTGTTAAATATGATAAAAAAATGTAAGATCAATATAATATCAACATTGAAAATTTCCGCCTTTCAATCAACCTAACTTACTTTTTGACGTTTTTTTTGGTTTACTTTTATGTTTTAAAAATGGTTTTTCAACGAAGTTTGATGAAAAGGCGGACTTTATTCAATTTTGATATTACACTGATCTAATAGTATATTACGTTCCTAGGTACGAAAGTGCAGCTTTTAATCCCTGCGTGATGTTCGCTTCGCTCGGCCGGTAATACGCTGGGATTGAGCGCCGCACATTCATACCGTGGAACGTATACGACTTTTTCTCCTCCTCGACCGAAAAGTCGTCCGCACATAGATTATTTAAATCATTTATATTAATTATAGATTTATATATTTTACTGTTGTATGCGGAACGGTAGCTAAAGTTAAGGTTTTTTTTATATATGTAGTGTGCACTGTGGTGTGTGGGGAAGAAGTGGGTCCACCAGGGCGGCATCCCTGGTGGGGGTGCAGGGGGCGAAGCCACCGCCAGGGGGTCCAGGGGGGCGGAGCCCCTTCGCTATAAAACAATACTGTCATAAACTGTTAATAACAAATTTATATGACATTTAACTTAGATCATTTTTTACTAATGATTCTCACATTGTTGCACGGTAGTTAAAACGCGTCATCTGGTTTTGTACTCTCTTACGATAATAGTAGCTAGTGATTACTTTATTCGATTAACAAGCAGAAAATGTGAACACAGCGAAGTAGGATCGATACCTACATCTCTACATATACTATTGTTACTATTGCCGCGTATGTTATACAAACAGCAGCCCCTACTTCGTTGCATTTACGTTTTCTGTTCAATAACTGAATTGAATTACGTTTGGTAGTGTACATATGATAATAAGTATACTCTAGTTTGATCATGTCATTCGAGCTATTCCTAGCTTTCTAATCAAATAATAGTGTGCCATTTGAGTATTCTTATACTGATGGCACGGCTTCAAAGCCGTCTGTTTTGAGGTTCAGTTGCTTGTACGTACGCACACATAGCAGTGCTGTGTCGGTATCGGTTACGACGCGCCGGGATTAAAAGTGCCACTTTCTTATAGGGGGACCTTACGTCCCCCTTCGACCTCTCGGTGATTAGAGATTCTATGCTATTGTACTTGTCATTCTTTTAGCGCCTTGGTGCGTTCCTTGGCCCTAGTACATTCAAATCAATAACGCAAGTGGCTTCGTGGGAGATACTATGAAAACCGCAGATCGCACGTAATATAACTCTCCGTCTTCGACACGTTGCTCCATGTAGAGGCACCATAAAGAAGGAACCTGTGTGTATGTGAGTGTGTTTGTAAATACAAGTTCGTCGAAATAGACTGATTTAACACAGTGGAATACGTCGATTGCTTCGAGGTAATAAGAACCACTCGCTCGAATTCATGTCAGTAAAAAATCTATGTCACGGCTACGTTGCTTCTGCTGCCTGCGCTGTACTGCTCACCGTCTCGTTACGCCAAGTTCGAAACCGCTTTAAAAGGGGATCCAGACTCTAGCACTATTACGTACCCCTTATGTATATGTATAGAGAAAAAGAGTCCATGCAGAGCTAAATAAAAAAAATATCCTGCACGTCCATACTGACACAGGTTGTGCCGCTAGCTGAATAATTTATAGCTTGTATGTCGCAGACTTTCGATCGCTACCGATATAAATTTTCTTATTTTTATTCCTTGCTACAATGCTGCATTAATTTTGTACATTTTTTTCTATTTCCTTATAGAATAGTACACATCCGTCACGATTCAAGTCTGCTTCCGGTCTCAAATCGCGATATTGTTAAATCACACCATCGTTGCATTGTTCGCGTCTCCTGAACTATAGATTCTTCTGATCATACTTAAATGTGCGATCAGAAGAGAAAAAAACGATACAAACCTCGACAAACCGTTTGTCGATAAAAGTGAAATGTTACAATTTCTTGCCAAAGTGCAAATAACTGTTTTTGGTGATTTTAGGCATTTTAGGCCTATTTTTGACCTTTTTTGCACGTTTTTCGCTACACATTGTTGTCTACATTGCGTTAAACTTTAAGACCCATTACAAAACTTCATCAGGCAGTAGTTGACATCTTTGGGAAGCTTTTTACATAGTTTAGGAAATGAAAGTCCGGTTCAAACTCGAGTAGATTTCTTGTTTTGTGTTTTTTTCAACTTTTGAAAGCTTTTCACTTTACAATATAGCTCCAATCACTTTGGAATGCTTTTTTTTCTCTAAAAATTCAGACAATTTACAACAAAAAAGCTCCTGGGCACTTTTACTTTTGAATCATTCTACCCTGATCCAGGAATTATTTGAATATTTGTGATTTTTCATGAATTTCAAAAAAACCCTAAAATGGCCAACTTTGGGCCTCTGAAAAAGTGTCATAGAAGGCCCCAATTTTTCTAGAATTTTTTTGGGACAAATCTGACATCAAATACAACAAGTTTTTCATATTTGCAGAAAAAACATTTTTTTGGCCATTCGATTTCACAGAGAATCGGCCATGTACTAAAACAGCAGAGAACAGTTCCCGGTGCAACTGCCCTCTAGCGGATTTCATGTAGGACACATTGCCTCATAAGATCCACTGCAGTTGGAGTATGAAGCTCTTACTTCCCTCGTAAAATTTCATTGGGTATTCGATTATATTAAAATTAAGTAAATTAAATATAAGTCCAATCGGTCCATATTTATACAATTATTGATATCACTTCTATCAACGAGAAATTTAGCCTCATTAGACTCAAGAGCAAGATTTCGAGACCAATAGTAATTTACATTGGTTCCAGTTTACGAGATTATCACACGAGTAAAAATAATTTAGGTCAAGATATGCTTGAAACGTATGGTATGAAATCTCGGGCTCTAGTCTAATCAAAGCTATCTTTGACCACTATAATGCCAGACTCGGGGCCCGACTATTTGCCGTGAAAAAATAAAACTTTTAAGTTACCTTACTCCCACGCACTCTATTTCTCTCTGAGCTGCCATCTGCCATTAGGGAACTTATAATATTTTATGTATTTTCGGTAAATAGTCAGGGCGTAAAATAATCCGTTGGTATCAAATTTTACTTGTTGTTTTTTGGCGTATGAGATAAATAAAAATAAAGAACTCGTTCTGTTTTGTATTTATTACTTCATGCTTGCTCACAGTTAGTTTATTTTGGAGTAAAAATAGATTAAGAAACAGTCAAGTAATACTGCGATTTCTACTTAGCAAAAATTCAGACATTAAATCCGTTAAAAATAGTCCGAATAATTATTTTTTAGCGTAACACTCACGTACATACTATTATATCTTCTCGCGGTGCCTTGAGATTCGCACTAATCTTGCATGGGTACGCGTGATTCACTTCAAATTGTTTTCGATAAAAATCTGGTAATAAAATGTAAATTGCGCCATTTATGTTCCAAATCGTTAATGGGTTCAAAAATAATTTTATGAAACGAACGTAGTTTAGAATTAGTCAAAGAATCTGTTTGATCTTTTACAGAATCTTATGGTCGATTTTTAAAAACTTAATTTAATCATGAAAAAATACGAGTTAGTAATAATGATCATTAGTACTTATTGGGCATTTATTCAAATTCAATTATACATCCGACTACATGGAAAGTTAACATTTTTTCAACATTGCCTAAATCTGCCACTTTCTGGAGATTTGCTCAGGTACAGATTCAATGAGTGCTGTATTTGTATACTAAAGACTACGTATAATACGCAGGTAAAGAGAAACGCTTACATTGCATTGTTGAATATATTTGATTGTATATGAATGTTATATATATAAACGAGTAAAGGTCTGCGCGCGTGTGAGTGTATATGTAACTCTAGCAGTACATGCGTGCAAGCGCAAGTATGCACGTAGATGCGTATAACCACATAAACTCTAAGAACATGATACTCGCAAGTCTAAGCTTAAATGGCGTCTCGCGTTACTCTGGCTCCCGTGTCCCAACGCTTTCACTGTTGCTGCTGCTGTCGCTGCATCACATTGGCGGTGGCGGCACGCCTAATTCCATTATCGAAGTTTTGAAACTTGTTCTCATTGTAATAAGTGTGCTAATTCCTTGCACAAGCCAAGCTTCATAAAGTGTTCTTATACAAACGTGCCCCTGCGCATCTCTCTGCTTCGTCTCACTCTCTCATTTTCTTTCGCTCTTATTCTCGCAGCGAAAGGCGCAAGCGTATTGCATATATATATAGTTAAACGTAACCTTTTCTCATTTCCTTCTGGGCTATGCACTCGCTTCCTTATTATACCTTTCTCTTTCATTGTACTAGTCTTTGTTGGCGTGTTTACGATAAATTTTGATAATTTCATTAGCCAGATTTTAAGTGAAAGCACAATTATTAAGCGAGCACAGCCATACTGCCACTGTTTTTCTCTCAAAAGCTTCAAACATGGTATAAGTTTTACGAGATCAAGAAGGAGAAAGGGAGAGAGAGAGAGAGAGAGCTAGAGACCGATGGAAATCAGATTACTTACTAAATTTTGGTTCTTTTGAATACCAAGGACTATGATTTCAAGTTGCCTAAAAATAAGAAGGAAAGCTGAAAAAAATTATATCCAACAAAAAACGAGCTAGGGAAAGATGGTTACAAGGAAATAAGCCTAAGCAGCACGCGATACACTTCAGCACTCTTCATTAACCTCTAGCTACTGTCAGTGCTATTGCTGCGGCCAATTTACACTCAAAACTCAATCGTATGATATAACTTCGAAGCAACTAAAGTCGAGAACAGCTACACACACACACACATAGAAGTATGCCGAGTATATTTTGGCTAGTGGCCAAAATTCATTACAAAAAAACGATTCAACTGCAACTGCAGTTGAGACAAACTTTTCAAAACTGTACCAGCAACGCTACTTGGGCAGCCAGTAGGGCGTTTTGTACAATAAGCTCGATTTTTTCTCTGCTTATTTACAATTATTATTATTATTATTATTATAATTATCATTATTATTACGTAGGGAATTTTTTCAGCGGCAGCAATGTCAATGAATATGAAGGCTATATTTTTCGTGTGTGCATTGCGAAGCTCATGCACACTTATCGCTGACAAATTGCTAGCATACTACCGACTGAATGAATCTCGTGTAAGCGCCCGCGTAGTGCTTCGTGACAATCAGTGCGAGGATTTAGTGTCGCGCGTATACGCAGGTCGCTGCGGAGGCTGCTCTTTCCGCCCAACGTCCTATAACACGTGTACAACTACGCGCGAGCAGAAGTTGTTAAATTGCCACGTAATTTATCGATTGACACTCGCGCGCACCACGTAAATTATTTTCAAAGCTTTATTGCCCCGCGACGATTGAATTCGAAAAATATGATAACAGATGCTGACAAAAGATTGTCTATCGACTAAATAACTACATCCTAGCATTCCTTCATCCAGTGCAGATGAAATTTAGCTCACTGCATTCAGTAATACGTATACCCATATATGGGTCAAAATAATACGTTTTTACAAAATCGTCCATACGTATGTCACCGTTCTTGACGCGCTTTTGGTATATTATAGTACATGGTAAAAAGGTCCCAAAAACAAAATTTTAGACCCCCTTCCCCCTCCTACCTCCCACTTCCGGTATAAACGTCCATTTTCTATTTATATTTATTCTGAAGCCTTGAAGTAATGAAAAAAGCTGAAAAAATTCATAAAAATACTTTTTAACCATCTGAACAACCTTGAATTTTTGCAGATTTTTTGAGTGCTTCAGGCGTACAGATAAAATCATTAAAAATTCTGAAAATCGAGATAAGGCGATACGAGCGGATGTAGAGCTCAGAAATTTTTTCAGTTTTTTTCGCATTAAAAAAAAATAACCTCAATTTTTTTCAGATTTTTTTAGATTACCTAACACACTTTTTGAAGCAAAAAACAGTATTTCACCCACTAGGTGCAAAATATACTATTTTTAAGAGGATACGGAGCCTCGAAAAGTTTGGAAACATTTTTTTCTTGTTTTTTTTTTCATTAAAATACATAACCTCAAATTTTGTCAAATTTTTTAAGTGAAGGCGACAACTTCTAGAGCTGAAAAATGCTTTTTTTAACAAAAAAGGTTCCTAGAACCCGATGGTTCCGGTAAAAAAATTTAAAAATATTTTTTTTTAATTCCTTGTCAAATTTTAATGAATGTTGACAGTTTTAAGTTTTCGATTGAAGCCTCCTTACTCAATCTAGAGCATCAAAATAGTTTTATCATTCCTTAATGTCTTCAAAAACGTCTTCAGAATTTTGCATTAATCTTTATCATGCTTTTGCAAAAATTTTTACGTTTTTTTTTGTTTAAGTAGCTATAACTTTTTTATTGCGCAAAAAAATTTGAGCTCAGTTTCTGAAAGGGCATTAAATTTTACATCGAAATTTTTATAAGGCATGAAACTACAAAAAAATTGCTGCGAAAACCAACAAAAAAATCAAGCATTTTGGTCAAGCATGGGTTAATCATAATTTTAGGTTAAATAGGGATTGCATTACACTGTGGTACCCCCAAAACCACCTTGAAGTCCATGTTTTTCGATGAAAACGAAGTTGAAGGGCTACATTGACTACGGCATTCGATTTCGTAGACAAAAATACATAAGAAAATATATTTTTGGGATTATTCTTATTCACAGAACTTCAACAACTTTTGAAAACTATTTTATGGTTGATCGATTTTGCTGGTTTTTAGGACCACGTTTTTAAACTTCGAAAAGCCATGGACACTGATTCGTGCCACTTTCCAGAAATTTCAAACCCGGCTTTCTTTTAGTACAGACTTGAACTTGTGAAGAATTTGCATGACGCTAACACGATTTCGAAAATGTTTCCAAAAGTGAACCACGCATAGGTGACTAAACACTGTTTGGGCGATGAAACGACGAGTGAAACTGAAAAAAAGAAGGATCAGGTGGAACTATTGACCAGAATCCGCTTCGACATGTGAGAAGAATTCATACAGCAAACTTTTTCTTTGCAATATGTTTTTATTTCTATCACTGTCCAGGTAGTTTTTCAAGGTATTATAAGTTTACAGAAGGCTGATATTTAAAGCTTTTTATAGATCATAATAATGGCAAAAAGTTTCGGACTTTACATTGAGCCTTAAGTCTTTCGACGATAATTAAAAATTACTGAAGTAACTTACGACGCCTTCATTTGGTGAATGATGAAATTAATTTTACCCGCAAATCGGCTGATAACAAGAATTTGTTCACATAGAAAAGTTGAGAAAAATGAGGGGATGGTAGAACTGGTCAAACCTATTAGGGGAAAGAGAGGAAAGAACCGCAAGTTGGTGGTGTATCGAATCGAAGCTACCCGTGCGCACACGCTTCTGTCTTCTACACTCAGACTACACTTATAAAACAATTATTATAATACTTGAGCCGTACAGGGAGGCACATGTTTTTCAAAACAAATTGAAAAAATTAACAATGCGATAAATCTACATTCAGCACTGCATTTTTTTGAGAGAAAAGACGAGTAAATTTTTAAAACTGTTGAATGATTTTGGCCACCCACTGTGTGAAATATTATTTTGCATTGAATATTTCAAACTTGACGTTCTCCTCCTCTCTCCCTCTCTCTTTCACACACATACATACATTCGTTTTCTGGCTGAAATATATGCTGCCGCTGCTGTATACGTATACATTACCATAATTTCAGAGAAAGGAAGAGAGAAAGAAAGAGAGAGGGAGGGAGAAAGAGAGAGAGAGAGAGAGAGAGAGAGTGAGAGAGAGTGAGAGAGAGAGAGAGAGAGAGAGAAAGAGAAGCATTTAATGCGACTATATCGCAGCTAGAGACGCACATTCTCTCTCTCTCTCTCTCTCTCTCTCTCTCTCTCTCCTCCCTCTCCCTGAATATGTGTGCTTGTTTGTTGTTGAATTATTCGTTGCTACTACTGCTACAGTGCTAGCTCGTCCAATACAACAGGCTTTCTGAGTATCTATGTGTACGCGGCGTATATTCTGTTGATGGTTGGAAACAGATGTAACTGCATAATTTGTGCGAAAAGCAAACCTTTTTTTAAGAGGCAGACCCATGTTGTAGAGTTTTTAAGTGACGTTTAATTTTTTCTGAAATATTATAGGAATTTATTAGTAAGAACCGTTAAGAATGTAAAACTTTAAGTAATTCGCTCGTTTTGACTAGATGATTTTTATTATTTTTATATACATTAGAGTCGCTTCGTCGTTGATAGAATAATGTCTTGAAGTGTTTAAATAAGATAATATCTACCTCTGGATCAGTACAAAAATGTCGATTTTGACGAATTTGATGGGCAAAGCCGCTATAAAAACTTAAATACAAGTGTAATATTTTTGGTATTTTGAAGAGATTTCAAAATGGGGGGGGGGGGGTGGTTTAATAAATTAATTTCTTAGGAAAAAATTTTCTTAAGGTTCCTTATATTTTATTTCTATACTATGTATTGAAAATATGATATTCTGTATTATACATAGTTGCGGGACAAATTTTTAAAAATCGTATGAGTCGATTTTATACGCTTTTTAAAAAATATACGCTTCTCTCATTAAAATGCATTTATGGTTTTTCATACTTAGAATTTTATCAAAAGGCATGTTTTAATCGTCCGATAAAGCTATTTAGAAAAATATTGTAGTTTAGTTTATGTGAAAAAATTGTACGTAAGTACTGGCCTATTTGAAGTAAACAAACTAGTATATTTTGGGACTTATTGCCTATTTTTCAATTTTCATCGGCTTATAAGGTCATGAGTATAATTCTTGTCTACAAATTTTAATTCCTTACCAAGGTTCAAAAACATCATATTATGTTTTTTATTGCAAATTAAGTTAGCCAACCAGCTCTTCGGAAAAGTTTCTTCTTTTGATTTTTAGCCATTACCTGACGTTATTTAGTTTGATGTCACAATGACAGTTTTTCATAATTCTCTCGATTTTTCTTGTACGCACCCCCCTGATCTCCATAAAGATAATGTATTTTTTACGCGGCGTTTTTGCTGCACGCATCTATGAGGTTCGCATGTAGTTTTTATGAAGATTTGTCATGTTTTTATCGAGTGGCTGTGGATTAAATAAATATAATGAAATGAAATATCCATGATGGGAATGAGGGTTGTTAATCTTTTATATGAATATTACAGCATATCCAGGGCACAATCCAGCTGGACGGACGAAGTCTGTAACACGGAAAGCTTGCCGAGGCAGCAGATATTGACAACTACCACTAACAGTAGTAGCAGCAATCACCATCTTCGTCATCAACATAGTACAAGCGATAAAAATAGTATGAGCGAACCTCCTGCTAGATGTACTAAAAGCTTGAATTTTGGCGTGTATGGCTGGCGCAAAAGGTGCCTGTATTTTCTCGTCTTAGGATTAGCAGTAATTGTTATACTCAACCTTGCTTTGACGCTTTGGCTGCTTAAAGTCATGGAATTCAGCTTTGTGAGTATTTTTCTACATCTAAAAATTTTTCATAAGCAGCTTAAATAAGGAGACTATAAAACTACTACAAAATTATCATAATAGTTCAAATTTTTTTATTTTGATGGTAAAACATGTTCATACTACACCTGATTGACCAAAAAAAACTTCTACCCAAGCTCTGGAGAACCAATTAGACCACTTCTTTCATATAACTGAATATTATGTTATAAATCACTAGCCGCATGATCTTGAAAAAAAGTTCTTCATCAATATTCATATATAGGGTGTCAAAATCTTTAGAAAAGTACCCTCATTCACTTGAGCGGAATTTAGAAAAATTGTGTGTAACTTTATATACAAGTCAAAATGTGACAATTTTTAAAAAATGAATATTTTATTAACACTAAATGACATACTTGAGCTCTTGAAAGAGAAGCAAACTTTTTTTTTCAAATTTTGCTCCGCTCAAGTAGATGAGGGTACTTTTTTAAAGATTTTGACACCCTAAAGATGAATATTGATAAAAAACTCTTTTCAAGATCATGTGGCTAGTGATTTATAACACAATTTTCATTTATATGAAAGAAGTGGTCTAATTGGTTCTCCGGAGCTTGGGCAGACGTTTTTTCGGTCAATCAGGTGTAGTATGAACATTTTTTACCATCAAAATAAAAAAATTTGAACTATTATGATAATTTTGAAAAATTTTTAAATATAGGCTTGAAACACTATCTTGTTCCCTTAAGGGGGAAAAGTAACTGGTCAATTGGTAAAAGATCATGTATATTTACTATTTGATGTACGCGAATAATACCATGCAGGATTGTTTAAAAAAAAATTTCAAAAGCGACTTGTTACAATATATACGATGAAAATATACACAGTGATGCCTGATTAATCGATGAGAGAGGAGATATTGTCTACAAAAAAAACCCAGTCTCTTAATTGAAAATTACTAGTCATCACTGCTCAGCCTCTGTGAAACTATTCTATGTAATGTTTTGTATCTATTTCGTATTTATTTTACCTATACATTTACAAAAATCGATTTACTTATGCTGAACTAGTTGCAGATAATATACACGCCAATTCGTAGTTAGCTAGAATATCAATTTTTTACTTGTATGCCTTTTCCTAAAATTTTTTTTATTTTTGCTTTTAATTTTCCTCTGATTCACAATGGATATAACTCATCCAGAGAGGCATAGACTTTCGATCCTGCATGACACAGTCTAGATTAGCGCGTATAAGTTACCGGCAAACCCCGCTTTTAGACAAAAACAGAAATGCGTATGATTTTAGGTAATAACCGTAATTCCTGAAAAAGTTTACGAAGTTCCTAAAATTTTTAGGCAAAACCCGCAATGTCTAAAAAAATACAGGCCAAACTAGCAATGCCCAAGTCAGTTTAGGCATTTTTGTTTTTAAATAATTTCGCATACAAAATCATTTGTAACACTGACAATATTTAGTGAATTAACTGTGTTTACTTCATATACTGAACATCAATTTCTTATTGACTCTTCAACGGTTTATTCATACCTTTTTTTCGTTTCATAATGAAGGCGCTAAGTTAAAAAAAGATCCTTACTTGAGCCTTATTTTAGGTTAAATAGGGGTTTTATTTGAGTCTATAGCGTCCATAAAATGACTTTGAAATGGGTTTTTTTTATTTTTTTATGGTGTGCAAGATATTCAGAGGTTTCCATACTTTAGTGACACCTTGAATTGCATGAAAAATAACCGAGAATAATTTTTATTATACACTGACAGAGATTTAAGGCTATTATACTCCCGCTTGGTAACAAAATGTAACTCGGTGTGGTGGCGCTATCGCCCGAGACGTCGGTATCGTTTTAATCCCAACTGGGAGAATTTCGTGCCCAAAACAAAAACAAAACTCCGCCAACTAATAAAGATTCCGCGAGACGATGAACATTAAAAATAATAGTATATTACTACCCTAGGCCGGAAAAAACTAAAAAATCCCAGGGCACGTGAAATAAGCGGTCGAAGCGCAGCCGAGGTCGAACGTAACCCATGTTACTGCCCGAACACTCAATTGACTATAGCATGTTACCGGTAGGAACATCCCAAATTTCGCACAAATCTTATTTTAATTTTGTTTTATAATAATAATGATCAACTTTTTGAATAGTATATTACAGTCCTATATCGGGAAAAACAGAAAAGTCCCAGGGCACGTGAAATAAGCGACCGAGGCGAAGCCGAGTATACCACCAGATCTAGAGTTTTAACCCGATCCGAATGCGTAATCGTGGTAAAAATCGTGGTAAAAAATTTTGAAGATAAATGTTCAAAAACCACATTTTTTTTATTTAAACAAATTTACTTTTAAAACGGTTGTATATATCGTAAATTGAACGCCAGATTTAAAAAGAGAGATAAAAATTCCATAAAATATGATATTCTTACATTTATTGGACAATGGTTTCATAAAAAAATAACGCGTGCAAAAATAAATCAAAATTAGGGTCTCTCGCTATTGGACGGGTTAACATTAGAATTCCAAGTATTTGCGCGTTGTTAGCTGCCACAATGATTTTCACATGTAATATGCAATGAATATTGTCAATTAAAATTTTAGTATTGGAAATTCCGTTAGTGAATGATCCCAGAAGTAATTGTTTTATAACGACAATGTAAAATGATCCAAATACCTATGTATCCCAAATAAAATTGCCCGGTATAACTGATTTTCGGTTGGAGTAATTTTGTTTTAGCAAACCAATATCGCATTTATAAAACTTGATAATGATTAGAGCTTTTTTATTTAATGTCAACATTCGTTTCATTTATTTATTCATTAATTTTTTTCATTCAATTAGCTTTAATTAAATATTCGATATGTCTTCATTGTTTACGCATAGGTTTTTATGAGTGCTTATACCTGATCACCCTTTTGTTCGATAATCTGAATTACAATCGTTTGGAGGCACAAAATACGAGTTTAATTCTATTCTAGGTGCCGCGTATCTACGAATGAAAAATTGTACAAAAGTGAAATATTATGGTATTTAAAAAATATCTGTATACAGCACTTATATGTAGGGATGTTGGAAGCTCGCACAGAGAAACGAACTGAGATGGCAAGCTTGCGGTTTATTGCGGCTGAGAATTATTAGAACATACGTATACCAAAGCCTCGTGAAAAATTATGGTCTTTAATTTATCAGCCAAAAAATTATTTCCTGTATATTCTTTTCTTCTCTGGCTATTGCAGTACTTTTGACGCCTTGGCACCCATCTCAAGACATTTTAAATCCTCTATTTCGAGATCACCGTCTTATATGGCTTCCCTTAAAATAACGTAAAATTGAATCTTTTTTTACTCGTGGCTCGCGGCCCCCACACACCTAGGACCATCAAAAACAGGCGGTTAGCATATAGTTACCGTGGACGCTTCGGCAATCCACGTAACAGTATTGAACAACAAAAAATTCTGTTATTGGACTCAAACGCATTAGTGCGCAAAAGTGCAATTTTGTGCATGAATTTTCCATTGTAAAAAATCATAGATTAAGTTAAAATCTTCTCTTGAAAACACATAGCCAGGGGTTTTTAAGGGTGCTCTCTTTCCGAATTTGGTGTTATTTTTTCGTTATAAAAATATTATCATCATTTATATTGCAATTAAAAAAAACGTGATTTTTTGACTTAAGATACACTTTTTATTTCATGACTTTTTTTCATAAAGTCAATAGTTTCCAAAAAAAAATGAGTGAATTTTTATATCGGTGATTGGTATAAATCCGCCATTTTAGAAATATAGGAGCTACGTAGAAACAGTAGCAATGCGTTTCTTGACGGTTCAGAGAAAAAGTGCACGATTGCTGGTGTTATTGAAACCCTCTGAATGCAAGGTAGACAATCGACTTTGAAAAAAAATTTTAATTAAAAAAATCACTTTCTTTTGTTTAATTGCAAAATAAACAATGATAATGTTTATTAATTGCAAAAATAACACCGGATTCTGAAAGAGCACACCCAAAAACCCCTGAATATGTATTTTCAAGAATAAATTTTAACTTAATCTATGATTTTTTTACAATGGAAAATTTATACAAAAAATTGCACTTTTGCGCATTAATGGGTACTTTTTTCAGGCTGTAGAAATATCTCAAAATGTACGTTTTGACTGGTATCGGTTCTCTAACAACTTTTGAATCAGATATTCAAATTTTTCCAAACAGATTCCATACGCGAGATATTATTCTAACGAACTACTCTAAAAAGTTTATGTTGCCCTTTATTACGATTTTTGAGGGAATGGACCCTTGAAAGAAATGAGGGATAATATTTTTAACTTTTAGAGGTTAATCTCTGAGATAAAGTAGAAAAAATTGGAAAAGCATTTATAATTAGAGTTTTATAATTTTTCCTCAATCACGTGACTACCAGTTATCAGAAGCGGTTTTGAGAAAAATGCATTCAAAGTTATTTTTATACGATTTTAAAGAATTTCTTTGCGTTATCAGCTGTTAATTCATTCTTTTATGAATTTTATTCTAAAATTTTAAGAGATTATTTTCATAATGTTAAAAAACGTTTTTACGTGAAAAAATCGATTTTTCATTATATTGTTTTCAATGCGAATGTCTCCTTGATCGAATAATATAATGTAAAAAAAATTCCACACAACTGTTTGTTCATAACAATGCAATATTAAAAATCAATAATCTATCAGCACAATTTGATTTACATAATTTTTTTACAAGATATCGTATGAAATTTGAGAGAAAAAAATGTTCCAAACTTCGGATAAACATAAATTGTAATTAAGTATAATTGATATTCTCATGACAAAAAATTTCACACAACTTCTAGAGAACTGCATACTTCTAAAATTGTAACATGATTAGATTAATTTTTTTTAATGCAAAAATTATACACATTGATTCTAACTTACAATTTGTCGAGTTCGATTATTTGATTTATTGCATGTGTGATTTATTGAAAATATTTTTTTCATCTGAATTGAAAAAAGGAATAGATGG